GACAGACAGGCAGCCGTGGGGAGGTGCGTGGACGCCTCGTGTCTGAGTCTGGGCTCTAGCCCAGGTCCGTGCACGCCACGGCAGGTACGGCGGACACTGGGGGCTCCGGCCCGGCTGGCTGCCTCAGCGCTCCACACTGCCGGTGCTCCCAGCCAAGACGCCCTCGTGGCAGCTGGGAGACAGCAGCATGGAGGTTGAGCCACCTGCCTAAGGCAACAATGCAGGCAGGAAACGGCCTAACTGGGATTCCAACCAGGGGATCTGGCTCCCCAGCCGGGGCCCATACGCATCCTGCCTGTTTGTGCCTGTCACCATGCACACCGCACATGTACACATAAATGCTTAATTAAAGATCTCCTGCAGTGCAGGAGACAAAATCAGGAGAGTGAGTTATAACGCAGACTGAAGGGGTCAAGCTGGCGTGCTGGGGATGCGACCTCCTCATTCACCCTCCCAGGGGTGAGGCTTTCCTCCCACAGTGCAGACCAGGGTTACTCCATGATCCACAATCCCACTTCCAGGGACGTGGCCTAGAGGAAAAGGAGCCCCGGCACAGACATATGCATGTGCACACCCCTGCTCACAGGAGCAGGGAGCAGAATGACCCCAGCGGCCGGCAGGGGACGAACAGGCGGAATACTGTGCAGCCCTCCATCTCAGAGATTTCAGAGGTGGCTGGGGTGGGGGTGGGGGTGCACTCGTCCTTTTAAATCCATCGTTCACCCACTCTTTGAAGAGCCCTTCTCACCATGAGCATGTCCCCGAAGCCGGAGAGCGCTGAGCTGAGGGGATGACATCAGTCACAAGAAGCCCAGCACACGTGAGGTCATTCTCATGAGAGGCCAGGGAGCTTGACACAGAATCAGCCTTTGATAGTGACCAGCGGTGAGGGGGTAAATCACTAGCAAGTGGAACGTATGGAATTGGGGGAGGGGAAAGCAGCACGAGGTGGGGGTGGGGCGGGGCAGCACAACATGGCCAGGGCCAAGGGGCCACTGGCAGGTAGAGAAGAGCAAACGGCAGTAATGCTCAGCACTCAGCGTGCGCGCGCGCGCACACACACACACACACACACACAGAGTCCTGCAGCAACAGTGAGACCAAACCACTGTGACTGAGTGGACACAGACAGGCGAGACGCACAAAGAGGGTGTGGGGCGGGGCAGGAGAGCAGACACACACAGAACACTTGTACATCTGAGGAAGGTGCTAGGAACAAGTGTACATCCACGGACACAGTGCCCATCACCAAGCACCTTAAGAGGCAGTCACTGGGCTGGGGGACTCGGGACCACCCAGGTCGGTTGGCATGACAAGGACACAGTCCACACTAAGGCAGGTTCTACCTTGGTGTCTAGCGCTGTGAGCGCTGGGGGAGTGGGGGGGGGGGGGGGGTTGTTGTGGGGGGGGGGGGGCGGGGCACAGGGCTCAGCACTGTGACCTGGCCCCTCTCCTCCTCTCACTGTGACTGACACCTGTGGGGAAATGTCCCCGGGCTGGCAGGGGGCTGGCAGTGGGCACACCTCCTCAGAGGGGAGAGGCTCCTGTGCTCCAAACTCAGGAGGAACCCCAACATCTTCTACCCCCGCCCACATGCTCCATCCCTCCGAGGGGCAGAGGGAGGGATGGAGGGGCCTGGTGAACGCACTGGTGTGTCGGTGGCTCCTGGGCTGGGGGCGCCCTGCACGGATCCTGGCAGGATCTGCCCTGGAAGCAGTGCTGGAGGAGAGGGGGGGACTTCCAGACTTGGGGTGAAACAGCGCCGGCTTGTACTTCCCTGGGAAACTGGGGCTCTGAGCCTCTGTGGGAGCCCCTCCTCCCTCCCTCCCCCAGGACACAGGGCAGCCGAGTCCAGCATGCACTAAGGAACAGGTGCCACAAAGGCCGAGAACCTGAGCGGACACTGCGGGCTTCCTGACAGACCAGAGGGACCCAACAGCACCACCTGGGAAGTGAGCGCGGCAATGGAACATCACAGCTGAACCTGGTCCAAGCCCTGGAGCTCCTGCTACCAATTTCAGGACAGCGGGGCGGGCGGAGGGGCAGGGAAAGGCATTACATCGCACCAACCGCAGGGAGCAGGCGGCCAAAGTCAGTCTTTGGGACGGGCCACAGGACAGCTGGGCTCCAGGGAGACAGAGCAGCACAGGAAGTCACGTGAGAAGAGGGAGGGGCGCTGTGCCCACTGGGCGGGGCTTACATTTCAGAGCCTTCCCATTTAAGAGGCCATTCGAGGAAGGAACGCTGGTGGGTGAGGCATTTGAGGGTGAGGACTAGCTCCCTCTTTTTTGATGTGCTGGGGGTCGGATTTCTTAAGCGTTTTTCTCGATTACAGATACACGATGAGAAAAACCTATAGCCCAGGCTCCAAAACACCTGAGCACCCAGACAGGAGCGGCCCAGCCGAGTGGGCCTCCCCTGGAGCCTGGAGATGGGTCCCTAGCCCTTCTAGTCAGTCCAGATGCTTCTGATATTGCCAGAGGGAAAGGGGGGGGGTGGTGTCAGGGGGCAGCTGATCCTGCCATTGAAAGCCCCCAGTGGCTTTCCACCCTTTGAAGAAAAGCATTGCCCTTTCCCAAGTGACCAGGCCCTGCAGGACCTGCTGGCTGTTGCTCCTCCCCTCCCCTCCCAAGAGGCACCCTTGCTGGCTCCCCTCCAGCCTCCTGGCATCCCCTGACCACCCCGGGCTGGGGGAATGCTGGGCGCCCCCCGTGTGCCTCCCTAGAACCCTCTGTGCAAACAGCACCTCCCCTCTCCCCTGAAACACCCCCCCACCCCCCCTCCCGTCTTGGAATCAGCTTCTGAAAGGCCAGGAGCCTCTGCCTTTCTCCTCTCACTAGCACAGGAGCTCCAGCCCTGCCGCGCACGCTCCGCACACCCAGGTGCAGCAAGCCCACAGCAACTGAGCTCTGGAAGACACGGGTCAGGCCAGCTCGGCCTGGGCCACTCAGCACCTGAGACTAGCCAGTCCTTCCTCCTTTGCACAGGGGAGATGCTGCCTCTGCCCCGGGCAGTCTTGAGCACTTAAGCTCAGGGTCAGCTCTGGCAGTGAACACACCCAGCACCGTACCCCGGGAGGGCCCTGGAGCTGAGCCTGGAAGCTCCAAACCCCTTTTTCCCCTCTCTCTCTCTCTTACACACACACACACACACACACACACACACACACACACACACACACACACGGGAGCTGACACTAGTTCCATCCCCCAGGATGGCAGCAAGCTGACCCTGCCAGCTGTCACAGATGGAATGACAAGAGAGGCCTCCTTCTAGCCTGGGGACCAGGCCCCACTGAAATGAGGCCCTCCCCACTAGCCAGAGGGAAAACAGGGGTGCCAATGGCAGTGCCCCACCCATCTCCCTACCCACCCCCTCCGGGTGAGTCAGCAGTCAGACCTGTTCACCTGCCCTGTCCCCTGCCCCCAAGACCCAGCCACAGACCCACAAGCAGAGCCAGCCTGGTGGCTCTGGTAATCGCTGCCTGCCTTGGGCGTGTTACTTACTGTTTGTCGGCCAGGAGCTGTTCCAGGATGGAAGGCAGGCTAGCTAGCCCCATCCATGGGACAGGACGCTCCTCCAGAGCACTCCGCACCCTATCTGCGCTCCCCCACGAGCGGGGACAGCTCAGCACAGCGAGGTCTGGCTCCACTCACACGCCCAGCTTGCGCACCCACCGCTCAGCTCTCACTGGGTCCCGAGAAGCAGCTTCACCCAGGCTTCCTCCCCAGAGCCCTTCTCTCCATGTTCCCGAGGCTCCTCCCTCCCCCGACCTGCAGTCCAGTCCTCCTGGAGGTGCTCCCCCAGAGCTGGGGGGCAGGCAGGGGGGCACTAACGACTCCCTGTCCCCTCCCACTCACCCCCGACCTCACAGGACCTGCTGCTCAATCTGCAGGGATCTGTCTTCCCGACCATCCCTTTCCCCTCCTGGCCCAATTCTGAGTCCAAAGTGCCTGCAACGGTGCCTGCTCTGAAAGGCTGCTCGGTGATAAGGAACACATGGACGAACGCCCCTGGCCCCCAAAACAAAGCTCACACTTCTGCCCACCCCTTCCCCCCCAGCACACACAGTCTCCACTCTGGACAGCCTGAGCCCCCGAACAATCCTGCACTCCCCCTGCCACCTCCTGCCAGGAATACAGTTTCTCCACGGCAAGGTCTGAGGACCGGCACCACTGGCCGCTGCAGTCTGCAGACAGGGCAGCATGGGGAGGGGCCGCCTGCTCAGGGTCAGAGGGACATGACAGGCAGCCTAGCTCCGAGCCCTTGCTCTTTATCCCTCCAGCACCCCACGCTGCAGAGGAGGCGAGTGGGGAGCAGCGAGCCCCGTGCCCTTTGCTGGGTAAACACTGATAGTGGAGACAGGGTTGTCAGGGAAAGCTTCCTGGAGGCGGTGACACACAATGTGGACCAGCGAGACGGCAACAGCAAGGACAGGCCTCTGCTGTCTGGAATGGGAGGGTGGGGGCACGAGAGCTGGTGCCCGCCCTTACACGTCATAGCCCAGACAAGCACCAGCTTTGCCTCACTCAGACTCCGGCCCTGGGTGCTATGCTGAACTCCACAAGAACCACAGGCACCTACCACAGGTCACTTTGCCTTCTGAGGGGGACCTGGCTGACTTCCTCCGCTCCCGGGAGGCAGCTGATGCCCCTCTCTGCCGCCAGCGGGCCCCACCGCTGGGCCGGCCCCGACTCCGCCGCTGCCGCTTGGTTGGGGGGGAGCCTGTAGAGAGAAGGGTGAAGTGGGCTGAGGACAGGTGGCAGGTGGAGCAGCAAGGTGGGAGAGAGCTGGAGGCTGGTCTAGGAGATCGGCCACCTACGGTGAACCCCTGCCTTGTCTCAGCTGAGGAGTGCAGCCTGGTATCACCTGAGTGTCCACTGAATGCCCCAGCAGCCCACACCTCCAGTTTGTGCCTAGAGGAACCATGGTGTGCTCACTGGCGTGTCAGGGCTGGGGAGAGCTGTACTGAGAGTGACAGTCAGGGTGGGTGTCCGGGGAAGCCTGGCACAGAGCCCCCCAGGGGTCTGCAGCCTGCTGCTCCCGGGCGGCCAAGGGAGGGGAGCGGGCGTCGACACAGACGCTGCCTGATTCCCACAGAAGGAAACACGGGATAGATGGTTCGAAACAGGTTGGTGGGGTGACCATGATGGAAACGAGACTCCTGAGAACCCCCGTGTGTACTTCAGTCTTGGCTTGAATCCTGGAAGGGGGTGGGTAATAACCCTAATCTCACCAACAGAAACAAATGGACTTAGCAGGATGTGACTCGCCACCTGAGCGAGGTAGAAGAGCACTCTGCCCGGGCCGTCTCAGTGGGACCCGTTCTGAATGAAGACCGCGGGAGGGCCGAGAGCAAATCCTCTGGGGGACTTGGATGTGGTCAACAGTGACACGGGGACTGCGATTACTATTGTAGAATAAAGCCAAACAAAGTTCCACATAGCAAGGTTATCCAAAGAACTTTCCCAGCACACCAGGGGGAAAAAAAGCCCCCAAGATGTTCATTTTGACTTGAGCTGTTTGCAAGCCCAACTCCTTGCTCTGAGACTCCAGAAGCCCTCGGCACCCTCAGGGCCCGGAGCTGCGTCTCCAGAGCTTGGCCTCTAGCAGAGACCAGGACTCCTTGAGGAAAACCACAGCCAGGGCTGGGGGCCGAAGTCTGCGCAAGCCCGGGCCATCAACAGCACCCCGTGGTAGAAAGCACTCCCAGAAGATTGAGGGCAGCAGGAAGTAGCCAATGGGGTCATAATAAAGAATGGCTAGTGGACAATGAACACAGTAGACAGAAAGGACCACGCAGGTGACCGAGTGATGCTCAAGAGAGGAAAACAACGTCAAACTCCTCCATCGGAAAGGGTAAGATGAGAAAGTCGGCACTGCGCACACTCCAATGGGAGTCAAACCACCGGGTTTGACTGAGCCCCCGAACAAGGAATGGTTGTCGGGAAGCAAGGTTCACTAACGATTCGAGGATAGAACCTTCCTTTTAACGCACAACACAGATGCTACCGTAAACAAATGATCAAACGTTCTCTCCACAGCAGCAAACACACACACACACACACACACACACACACACACACACACACACACACACACGTGCAGCGTGCAGATGCAAAGCCTGAGTGGCCAGATATTAAAAGCTGCTGGACCTGGGGAGCAGAGAGGCCCATGTGCGCTGTCCAGAACCCCCAATGCTTCTGGATGTTGGGGCGTGGAAAAGGGGTAGAAGCTGAAGAAATTAAAACTCAAAACTCACATTGAGTCGATTCCAATGCTTGTGACCCTGTGGAATGGTGAAGAACTGCCCCTGTGGGTTTCTGAGACTAACCTTCACAAGTGTAGGAAGCCTCCTCTTTCTCCCATGGAGCGGCTGGTGGTTTCGAACTGCTGACCTTGATGTTAGCAGCCCAACTTATAACCACTATGCCACCAGGGCTCCTTCCTGGAGCAATCAGAGCACTGTGGTAGAGACACCAATGGGAACTACTGGTATCAACATGGCTAAATCTCAGACACCTGAACCTGAGCACAGCCACTGTGAGCCATCCACCCAGCTCACAGACGAAACCACATGAAATGCCTTTCCGTGTGGCTGCCGGACACGTGCTGCTCTAGTCACACCCCAAACACGTACTCGCACGCACACGGAGATGAGGCGGGATGACTCCACAGGCCTCCTCCCAGAGAAGTCAGGATGGGTGTGGTGTGGTTCAGCAGGGTGCAGCTGCCCTCACGCCCACCCTTTGGCCTTACCTGTCTCCCACTGGCCCTGCTGAGAAGTTGAGGAAGTGTTTGAGTGGCGTCGGCGACGGCGGCAGCTGCCCTCTGCCCGCTTTGAAGAGCTAGAAGTGTCGTAGCTGTAGCGTTCTGGAGACACTGGGAAAGAGGATTGGAGAGAAGCGCTCACAGCCTCCTTCCCCCAAGGCCCAGCGCCCAGCATCCCGCCTGAAGGACCCCGGTGCCCAGCTTCACCAGGGCTCACAGCCCACCTACCCACTTCCTCTCAAACACCTCCTGCCCAGCCCCTCCTTGTTCAGCAGCCTCCGGAGACAAAGAGCTCCTGGCCTCTTGGGGTCACCCAGCCCATCTCGACAGCAGGTCACACTATCAGGGCTATCCTATCCGAGAGGTCACAGTCAGAATCCCAGTGAGGGCCCTGGTCCCTCACCAACCGCTCTCCAGGTCCTGAGGGCCCCAGAGAGTAAAAGCAGGCTTCTGGGTAGACTCCCCGAGCCTTCTCTTCTGGGCCGGACCCCAGACACATTGCTCCAAGGACAACGTGTACCTTTCCCCTGAGCTACCTTTTCCCAGTCTCCTGGGTTTGCTCATGCCCCCCCTCCCCCACCTCTGATAATCCAGCCAAGGGCTCCAGAGCACATGACACTTGGGTGTGCACAGCGCTGCTGGTCACCTGGAACCCTCTTACCTCCTTGCCCTCCCAGGTCTGCTCTCCTCCCCGTAGTGTTAAGGGCAGGAACTCTGGAGACCTGCCAGCCTGGGTGTAAATTCTGGCTCCCACACTTCTGAGCTCTGGTTATCTGCAAGCCCCAAACGATGTGGCTTCTCACCTTCCTCTCTGCCCTTGCCTGGCCTACTCTGGTCCTGCCACTCTGGCCTCTTACAATGCCAAGTTCACCCCCACCCCAGCCCTGCCCCCCAGGCCCCGACTCCTGCCGCACTGGTCTCTTAGAACGTCAAGCTCGTGCTCGGATCAGGGTTCTGCCTGAAATGTTCTCCCCTCAGATGCCTCACAGCCTCCTGTGCCACGTCAGTTCAAACGGTACCTTCTCAGAAAGGTCTTCATAGGTCACCCGGCCTCAGGAGGCCTCCCTGCTCCCTGGCTCCGGATTCCATTGCTATTTTAATCTACAGAGGTTTGCCGTCTGTCTAGTCGATTCCAACTCTCGGCAACCCAAGCAGTCCCAAGCACGACTGCTCACGCTGGTCCAGACTGGCTTTGGGGATGCAATCAACAGGCCTGTGCCCTCTTTGGGTAACCCTATTGCAAAACCACGCTGCTGTTTCTATGGTGCTATTCCCCCACCCCTATAAACAGAAGAGCCACTTGTAGCCCAGTGGCTGGCCATTCTCACAGGGGAGCAGTATACGTCACGTTTCTGAACCCGGTGCCTTCCCTGATTTTTCGGGGGGTGGGGGGCCAAGGGACAGAACTTCTTCATAGAACTACAGGGTGGCTCTCCAAAAAAAAAAAAAAGACTCAAAACCCTCAATGCCATCGAGTCAACTCTGACTCACAGCGACCCTATAGGACTGGCTGAGTGGACAGCGTGCGTTCCTGACATTTAACACTTCAAGGGAGTAGAAAGTCTTATCTGGTTTCTATGGCTGGTTTCAAACTGCTGAATAACATTAACCACTAGGCCAGCCACCCGGGGGTGGGGGTAAGGGGGTGTCAAGGAGGACAACTCCCAGGAAGGGCTTGTCACTGTGTCTGGCTTGACTTATAAACGTTCAACAGGGTCCATAACCATTCTGATTGACCTGGTCAAATTCCACGAGCTTGCCTCTTTCAAAACTACACCTCCTCCTGGTGAGTCCTGCCGAGGGGAGGGGAGGGGAGGGGGACGGGGCGGGACTCGGCTGTCTGATAAGGCACAGCCCCTAGCAGGGCATCAGGCTGCCACCGGCTGCCAGGTGGGTCCCTCCCAGCGCCAGTACCTGGCCGGCGCCTCTTGCGTGCCAGGTGGGGCAGCAGGTCCTGGCGGGCCAGCACGCGCAGGAGTTGTCTCAGCAGACGCAGGTTGCTCTCCTGACACTGGCCTCGACGTTCCAACTCCAGCAGCAGCTCCAGGCCGCTGCGCGCGCGCGCCAGGCCGCCAGCGGCGCCGGGCGCCTCGTCCAGCAGGAAGGCCAGCAGCTCCAGCTCGCACTCGGTCAGCTGCCCGCCCACCACTTCGAACATGCGGTGCAGCGACAGCATCCCGTAGTAGTCCAGGCACTCGTCCTCTTCCCAGCTCGGGGCCGGGGTCGGTCCGGGCGGCGCCAT